TTAAAATTCCCAGATTCCTGCAAGCCATGCAAGCCAGAAGTGGCCATGTAACATTTCCCTCCAATGATATGCATGTCAAGGGCATCAGGTAGAATTTTGTGTAATGAGCTGCTAAAAAAAAAAAAAAAAAAGACACACATGGCTTCCATAGCCTTTCCACTCACCCACTCTGTTTCATGAAGTTCTGATCTTAGACTTGAGAAGAACATGACCCAGAAAACTGTGAGATCCCAGAAGAAGGAGACGTGCCTGGAGTAAAAATGAACTAAATCTGTGGCCTAGAACCAAGCCTATACAGAGTCAGCTTCTATCAGTCAATCTCAGCTTTACCAAAGATGTGAGAAATAAGTGCTTATTTGCTATATGCCATTGAGATCTTTTGGTATTGGTTATGCAGCACTGATTCCAGCAAAGCTGGTTGAGACAATAAGCTAGACTCAAATATTGGAAACTCCTAGTTAGGAGAAGATAGAAATGTAGGAGGACAAGCCCACCTCTACTGCTAGACTGCCTGCATTCACTGCCCAGCTCTATTTTCATTCAGCAGATTTTCACGACTGATTATCCTGTGTCTCAGTTTCCTTAATTATAAAACAGGCATAATAATGTGTTTTCTGGGCGCCTGGGTGGCTCAGTTGGTTGAGCGACTGCCTTCGGCTCAGGTCATGATCCTGGAGTCCCAGGATCGAGTCCCGTGTCGGGCTCCCTGCTTGGCAGGGAGTCTGCTTCTCCCTCTGACCCTCCCCTCTCTCGTGCTCTCTGTCTCATTCTCTCTCAAATAAATAAATAAAATCTTAAAAAAAAATAAAAAAAAAATAATGTGTTTTCTTTGTGAGGATTAAACAGATAATAGTTTAACATATGATAAGATGAAATCTAGTACATAATAGATGCTTAATTAGTATTTATACCAAACTGAAGGATTTAGATTTTTCCCAGCAGGCCATTGGTTTTTAACTATATTTTCTCAGAAGACTGTTGTATGTCAGCTGAGGTGTTCCTTAATAAATCAGAATAATGGTGGCCTTTTCCCAGTATGCAGATTAATTTAAGTAAATTTATATAAATTCCTTGTTATAAGATTTTTTCTTCCCTATGTGTGTTTTTTTTTTTTTTTTAAAGATTTTATTTATTTATTTGACAGAGAGAGAGACACAGCGAAAAAGGGAACACAAGCAGGGGGAGTGGGAGAGGGAGAAGCAGGCTTCCCGCAGAGCAGGGAGCCCGATGCGGGGCTCGATCCCAGGACCCTGGGACCATGACCTGAGCCGAAGGCAGATGCTTAACGACTGAGCCACCCAGGTGCCCCCGCTATGTGTTTTTAAATCTCTATTGGTTGGCACAATTTTGTTTGCAAGCCAAATGAAAACAAGTAAATGAATATGAGGTATTATTATTAACAGAACCAATTCAGAAACACTAATTATACCTAGTATGATAATGTTTTTTTAAATAGACATGTGTGGCCCAAATTGTCATTTTATATTACACAAGCAAAATACAGTATTTTCTCTCAGGATTCCTACTCCTAGTTCCTGTGATGAAATTGAAAATATTTTTTTTTTCCATTACATTTGCAAATAATAGTGTTCTTCCAAGAACACAATAATTTGTAGATGCTTTGCATGCTTAAGATCACTGTTGCTGAGGACTCAGAATCTCTGGAAAATCTACTTGGTGTTAGTTTTTTGTTTGTTTGTTTGTTTGTTTGTTTGTTTTAGGAGAAATCTGAGCTTGAAAGCAACCTCTTCGACCTCAGCTGCAGCAACTTCTTCCTAGAAACATCACCAAAGGCAAGGGAAGCAAGGGCAAAAATGAACTATTGGGACTTCATCAGGATAAAAAGCTTTTGCACAGCAAAAGAAACAGTCAACAAAACCAAAAGACAACCGACAGAATGGGAGAAGATATTTGCAAATGATATATCAGATAAAGGGCTAGTATCCAAAATCTATAAAGAACTTACCAAACTCAACACCCAAAGAACAAATATTCCAATCAAGAAATGGGCAGAAGACATGAACAGACATTTCTCCAAAGAAGACATACAGATGGCCAACAAGCACATGAAAAGATGCTCAACACTGCTCAGCATCAGGGAAATCCAAATCAAAACTTAAATGAGATACCACCTCACACCAGTCAGAATGGCTAAAATTAACAAGTCAGGAAATGACAGATGTTGGCGGGGATGCAGAGAAAGGGGAACCCTCCTACACTGTCAGTGGGAATGCAAGCTGGTGCAGCCACTCTGGAAAACAGTATGGAGGTTCTTCAAAAAGTTGAAAATAGAGCTACCCTATGACCCAGCAATTGCACTACTGGGTATTTACCTCAAAGATACAAATGTAGGGATCCAAAGGGGTATGTGCACCCCAATGTTTATAGCAGCAATGTCCACAATAGCCAAACTGTGGAAAGAGCCAAGATGTCCATCGACAGATGAATGAATAAAGAAGATGTGGTATATGAAATCTTGCCATTTGCAATGACATGGATGGAACTGGAGGGTATTATGCTGAGCGAAATAAGTCAATCAGAGAAAGACATGTATCATATGATCTCACTGATATAAGGAAGTCTTAATCTCAGGAAAGAAACTGAGTGTTGCTGGAGTGGTGGGGGGTGGGAGGGATGGGGTGGCTGGGTGATAGACATTGGAGAGGGTATGTGCTATGGTGATGTTGTGAATTGTGTAGACTGTTGAATCACAGACCTGTACCTCCAAAACAAATAATACATTATATGTTAAAAAAAAGAAGATAGTAGGAAGGGAAAAATGAAGGTGGGGAAATCAGAGGGGGAGATGAACCATGAGAGACTATGGACTCTGAGAAACAAACTGAGGGTTCTAGAGGGGAGGGGGGTGTGGGAATGGGTTAACCTGGTGATGGGTATTAAAGAGGGCATGTATTGAATGGAGCACTGGGTGTTATACGCAAACAATGAATCATGGAACACTACATCAAAAACTAATGATGTAATGCATGGTTATTAACATAACATAATAAAATTTAAAAAAGGAAAAAAAAAAAGAAAGTTTACCCTCACAGTAATATATAAAGTTTAATTGAAAGTAGAAAGGGCTGGGACCCAAGCAGGCTACAGGACAACCCTAGTAAGATAAAAAATGATTCCTTGTCAGAAGCACAGGAGAAAATCGTTAATTAATGAAAAAGATGTTAGGAAAGTGGATAATTTGACAACATCTGGAGGCAGGTGGCAAGGGAAAGGAAATAAATCTTTAAACTTTAGTGCAAATGAAAATCACTCTGAGACCTTAGTAAAAATGTGCAGATAGTCCTTGTCCCCATTCCCAAGAATTCTAGCTCAGAATTTCTGGAATAGTGACCTAGAACCTACAGTTTAAACATATTCCATTTCTGATTCTGATTCAGGTGGCTGAGAGTCACATTTGGAGAAAAATTAGAACATAATATACTCTAATCATTTGGAAGCATTAGTTTGACTTTGCTACTTCAATTATTTAGCACTTTGTATGTCCCAGTTACTGGCAAGGATTGATGCAGATGGTAAACCGATGGTGAAGGATGACTCCAAGATTTCACGCTTAAGCATATGAGAGAAGAATAATGCCATCAATGAAGATGAAGTACACACTGGTAAAATGACATATTGTAAGGAAAGAAAGATGATGCATTTGTTGTTTTTTTTTTTTTTAATTTGTTGTATATTGGACTTTTTGAAAGGTGGAAGGGAGCATTAAATACCAACCCTCTTCCATATATGGCTCTGAAGAAAGTTGTGAATAAGGGAGATAGAAAATCCAAACAGCCATTTTATTACTGATGAAGGCCAGCTTGGAAGCTAAAATTACGGTGTGTCACTAATGCTCTCTGCACTGCAACCCAGCATTAAGATGCCTAGTCCCTGCAATCTTACCAGGCAGGAGCAATTGCATTACTCTGTTACTTCAAGCTAAAGCATAAAGTAGCTAAAAGACATTATCCCATCCGTGCTAACTAAAATAGCCCTTTATCAAAGTTTTACTATAGACCTTGTACTTGTCATTTATAACACACACTTCAGAGTTCAGAATGAGTACAATTACTTTTTGTGCTGTCTCTATTTGAACTTAAGTGCTATAAGAGCAAGGATCACATCTTATTTGTCTACTCTCAGATACTCATATTTTAGCACACTGCTAAGCAAGGAGTAGAAATTCTAATCAACTTGTTGAATGAATAGGTTTTTTTTTTTAAAAAAAGAACAAATGATGGGCGCCTGAGTGGCTCAGTTGGTTAAGTGTCTGTCTTAGGCTCAGGTCATGATTCCAGGGTCCTGGGATCAAGCCCCCCATGGGGTTCTCTCCTAAGGGGGGAAACTGCTTCTCCCTCTGCCCCTCCCCCTGCTCATGCTCTCGCACTCTCTCTCTCTCTTTAATAAATAAATAAAATCTTTGGGGGGAAAAAAAAAGAACAAATGTTAACTTCAGGTTCTGGTCAGGCGTTGTTTGTTTGTTAATTACCCGCTCAACCCAAAATTCCACGTTACTGATGTCAAAATTAAATAATAAGGAAGGTTTTATTCAAAATTATGGCAATAGAGAGGCCACAACCCTATTCCAGCTTACGTCCTTGGAAACTGCTGGAGATTTTAAAAGCTGCGGTAGGGTGCATCATAAACCACCTGTGTTTACTAATTGGCCTTCCCCAAAGGAAATGCTTCCTTTTTACCCTAATTTCGTGACAGAAGGTAGTTTTACAATTTGGCAAAAGGTGCGAGCCTGAGTCAGGCTCTCCTACCCTTCCACAGAGACTGGGAGAGAGAAGGGTGGCTGTCTTCTTTGATTACATTTCAAAAAGATGTTCTTTTAAAAAGACAGCCCTTGGCTGTAAAACTGGCACGAAATTTTTAAAAAGTATTTCTATCTCAGAAGGACAGAGAATGAATTTACAATCACAAGTGTCTAAAGTAAATGCTCTAAGGAAAGCGAGGTAGTCTTAAGAGGCAGTCAGAAAGAGGTCCATAATTTATACCTGAGCTGAGGGAAAGTCAAGCCCGTCTTGACCAATGATTAGCTGTGTTTCTGCAGTTTTGCACCAAGGAACTCAATTATGAGCTTCCAATCTCTCATGGTTCCCTAAGCATAGTTGCTCTTACTTTACACAACCTTCTTTTGCTTACTTTCTTACTTCCTACTTCTGACCAAAGCGCAGAGCTCGTCCGTGCTTTCTGGCAGGGCGCGTGCGCAGAAGACCGTGCGCGCCTGACGTCATTGAACGCGCCTGCCCCCACTTGTTAGCAACCTAAAGCGTCCGTAGTATCACCGGCTGCTGAGATGTACGAACTTCCGGTTGTCCCGGCAGCTGTCGCTGCCGCTGCTGCTGCTCCTGCCACCTGCTAGGGCCGGGCCTCAGTTCAGGATTTGGTCACTTCTTCGTTCTCCACTGCGCCCATGGTTCCTCCTGGAGCCAGGGCGGCGGGCCCGGCGGCTCCCGCGTGGTGAGAGGGCGGTCCGGGGACGATGAAGGTCCCGCACTGCAGTTGCTGTCTCAGCCACCTCTTGGCCTCCGCCCTCCTGCTGCTGCTCTTGCTGCCAGGTTTGGGAGGGCCTTTGACTTTGCTGCTGCAGGCGGCCGAGGCCGCACCGGACCCTGGGCCTCCGGACCGCGGGCCGCGGACCCGGCCGCCCCTGCCTCCCGGCCCCACTGTCGCCCAGTTCTTGGGCGGCGCTCCGGCAGAAGCCGCAGGGCCGCGGGGCGCTGAGGGCGGCAATGGCAGTAGCCCCCGGGCGGGGCTTTCAGCGGAAGACTCCGGAGGGAAGGCGGGGGAAGAAGACTCAGTGGGTGGGAGCCTTGCTGTGAGCCCCAACCCCGGCGACAAGCCTATGACCCAGCGGGCTCTGACCGTGTTGATGGTGGTGAGCGGCGCGGTGCTGGTGTACTTCGTCGTCAGGACAGTCAGGTGAGGCGAAGCCTCCATGAGCTTCCTCTGCAGGCCTGGGATGGGCTGCCTGGTGATCTAGCAAGGCAGATTTCTGTGACCTGGCATTGCACCTGCTTGTCCCCATTATCAGAGATGCCTGCCTGAGTGCGATTGTGATGTTTGTCTCTAAAAGCCTGTGGTACCATTGGAAGAAGTTAAACCACCAAGTAGTTACTCTCTTTCATTTATAAATTATAAATTAATACCTCACCTCCAAATCTCTTTACCTTGCGCAAAGGGCACACTTTCCTTGAAGACGAAGCAATCTTGTATTGACCACACTATCTTCTAATACTTCTCTCTTTCTACTCTATATATTGTTGTGTACTTTGTCATTTTGCCTATCAGAATGCAAGCCTCCTAAGGACAGGATTCCTATTAGTAGCATCTGTGAGACCTAGAGTTCTTTGTAAAATACTCTCACTTATTAGGAAATTAGTATTATTTGGATTAATAGTAGTGCAGAAAGACCTTATGGATATTTTATAAAATTTAAAATTTATAAAACTAAAAATTTTTAAAAATTTATACAATTTAGAAGAAAAGTTATTCCTTATGAGCAGTTTCTCATATTGGTCTTTAATCTGCCACATAAATAATTAGATTATAATATATGAAGTTTCCCACATTCCACTGTTTTTGACCTGGAAAAGTAACAGTTTTGTATGGTTCAATCTATGCCATGTACCCCATTAATCGGAAAGATTTAGCACTCATTTTGCATGGCACAAAGTATTTCAATGCAAAATGTTAACAATTGCATGATAAGATGGAAAACCTATGCAGCAAAAGAAAAAATGTCAAGTATATTCAATTTTAATATTGGAGCAAATATTTAATACCTAATGAAACTAAACATATCTGACTTCAAATTTACAAAATTTTGAATTCGTAAATGGGTAAATTTGATATTTCACTTACCAAAAAAGCCTTTCTAAAATGAATTCATCTATAAATAATAGTTCTATGTCATTCAAAAGTTTAAATTTACCAAATAAGTCATTTGAGCCTATTCTTACTATAGAATGCTAGATTATGGGATTCTTTAAATTTCAAATTTGGAACATACACGGTGACTTAAATGACACCTTTCACCTTAACTGTGAGGAAAATGACTCAGAGGAATAAAGTGATTTATCTTGTGTCCCATGGGGTCTAATATCTATGATTATAAATTCCACTGTTTGTTTGAATATTTTTCCCTCTTTTTCCCCCTTAACAAGAGGTCTAGGTCTGACATATGCTCAACCTTTGGATTAAGTAGACCAGGTCATTATGTTGTTTAAGTACCAGGTTATGAATACAAGTAGATGATTAATCAATCACTTATTATTCTACTTAATGCCATATAAAGTAGAAAAGGAATTATATAATCAAATTAATGACATTTATTATTGTTATCTGTCACCTTCATTTGATACATTTTTTTTATTACTGAAGTGAAATCGTTTTATGGCATCAGTTATGATATTTAAATATTCCATGTAATAAGATTGACTTGGAAGAAATCTATAATAAGATTATAAGGTTGAGGGCGCCTGGGTGGCTCAGTTGGTTAAGCGACTGCCTTCGGCTCAGGTCATGATCCTGGAGTCCCAGGATCGAGTCCCGCATCGGGCTCCCTGCTCGGCAGGGAGTCTGCTTCTCCCTCTGACCCTCCCCCCTCTCATGTGCTCTCTGTCTCTCATCCTCTCTGTCTCAAATAAATAAATAAAATCTTAAAAAAAAAAAAAGATTATAAGGTTGAAAATCTATAATAAGATTATTAAGTGGGTTAGATGGTGACTGTCTTTCTGAAGAGCTGACATATAGAGCCAAGACGTCACTATTTGAAGGATTCAGCCAAGAAAAGAGCTGAGGAAGCATTGTCTAAGTAGTTTTTACCTCTTGTGGAGTTTTGGTGTAGTATTAAAAAAAAATTAACACTAGTATTTGAGAAGACTATTAAAATGCTCCTCCCTCTTCCAGGTTCATATGTATGGGAACCTGGATTATCTTTATATATATTGCAAATGATTGAATGCAGGAGAAAATATGAACACCTGGCTGTTTTCCTTTTTCTATCTAGTTCTATTTGTTTAAGCTAGACATTAAAGGGATTTGAAAAAGTCTCTATCAGTGCCATTTTTCACCTTTTTTCGTTTTCTTTTTGACAAATGTATTTTTCTTTTTTTAAATTTTATTATGTTATGTTAGTCGCCATACAGTATAGTTTTTCATAAAAAAAGTTATGTTAACATGTAATGGACTTATTATTTTAAATGATAAATATTATAATGTGTCTTAGGTTTCATATATTAAATATTGATATGTATAATCCACAGAAAACATAAGTTCTTTGGAGTACTGAATAATTTTTAAGAATGTAAAGGAATCCCAAGACCAAAACATTTGAGAACCACTAGTGTAAACAGCATTATCTGATCTAGATACTATTGGTTCACAAAGCCGGCAAATCCAGATCTACATTCTGTTAAAGGAGAAGTGAGAACATGTTCATGAGGTGTTAAAGATATAGCCACCATATGAGACTTTCTTCTTGATATAAAGATTAGAAGAAAATTGAAGCAGAAATTATTTTTCTCACTGTTATTTAATACTATCTGTATAGTTCTTATAAAGATCCAGAGTACCCTGAGTATTATGTTTCTTATGCTTGTAAATTATGGGTCTGATGATAACTTTTTGGGGATGATCCTTATCTTTTCATTTTTCTTCTACGTAATTTATAATCTTATATATAAATGTTTATTGCCATTGATTTTCTATCTTCAGTTCTGTAAATCTTGGAAGGGTACAGTCTTCAGTATGATTCCATTGGATGGTTCACTAACATATTTTATGTTAGCCAAATTCTGAACTATAGCTAGGAAAAACTGCACCTAATCAGTTAACCAGCATCTAATATATTCATTTATTCATTTTTTAACCATCATCTGATATATGAACATTCAGTTCAAGTTCTAAATTTAGTTGGCTACCTGATGCCCCAGGCTTGATTGATGCTAACAGTGTTTGGGCAGTGTTCAGAACGCATATATTTGCTTAAAGATTATGGGATAAAAACTATTTATTTTGGTGAATGCCCATTTTGGCTCCCCACGTTGAAAGTACGTGTAACAGCACACCAACATTATAGTTTATTTGTGCCGGGGGGAAAGAATGGCCAAAAATAATTTCCTTAACTCTTAGGTGGTAACACTGAGAATATTTTATTTGTAAAATACTTGAACTCCATGAAACTTATAAGTTGTTTTGTTTTAATCTAATTTAGTTATAATGAATATGTGACTGGAAATAATAATAATTCACTTTGAGGCTGAAAATATTCCAAAAAACACTTAGATTGTATCCATAGAAATTGAAAAATATATACAAGGAAAAGAGTAGGCTTCCTAAGATTAAAATATATAGTCTCTATGAGAAGAGGCTCCTTGTCTGTCTTATTCTGTACTATATCCTAAGTGCTGAACATTATGTACAACATATGATAGGCACTGAATAAGTAGTTGTCTAATAAATGAGCATTCTTTTTTTTATATATATATTGTTATAAGTAGGTGGTAAAGATTTGGGAATTTAATGGTAATTGCTTCTTATTGATAGAACAAGGAGGAATGAGGATCTCAATAATACTTAGATTTCCTTTCTCTCTGTGGGGCATTCTTCTCACAATAAAATGAATAAAGCAAGAAAAAAAATTGCAGGGTCATTATTTTTTTAGCAAGCAATTTTGGTATAACTTTGTGAAGAATAGCCCTTGCCTTTAAAACAAGGAATTATTTCTTTTTTCATGCCATGGCACTGATGCTTTTTCATTTTGTATTCAATATGGTGTATTAGGAGACCAAGGCTTAGATTCCAGTCCTGACACTTTTCCTCTCTGATCTTTAGCAAGTCACTTAACCTTTCTAGTTTAATATCTCCTGATGTAAAATGGGGAAAGAAAGCTATTTTGTGTAGTGGAGATGAGCATGGAATTTAGTATAATAGCCTTCATTCAGGCAGTCAGTATTTATTTAGTTGCTCAGAACTGGGTACTGGGGATCTAATGTGAGCAAAATAGATGTTTCTGCCTCCATGGCACTTACAAACTAGAGGAGCAGAGAGACACTAATCAAACAATCATAAAGAATGTACAGGATGCTCTGGAAAAATAATAAAAGCCAGGTCCTATTAAAACTTAGTTTCTAGCAAATACACAATATTAATTTAATGGTTCCTATAAGTTAAGACACTAAATTGGTTTTCTTTAAAAGAACCTTACTTTGTAACTGAAACATTATTTTTGAAATTTTACTTATCATCAGATATCTAACATTTGTTATTTATGTACCAGATGCAATGCCACATACTTCATGGGCATTTTCCATTTTAATACCTTCCAAAAACCTTGAAAATAAATAACACTATTCTTGTACAGGTAAAGAAATTGAGGTTACATAATTTGTCCAAGGGCACATAAATAGGCCATGCAGAACTGCATTGAAACCCAGCCCTGTCTGAACTTTTTCAACATGCCTAGTTACTTCATGTTATTAAAGTCACGAATTTAAAGTGATACTGCATATAAGGATGACTAGCTTATTTTAGGACAAAAATCAGGTGAATATTATATGTACAGTACCTTTCTGTTTAAAACAATGGTTTTTGTGAATATTAAAAATCTCAAATTTTATTTTTAAAAAGTGAGTTAACCTTAACATTTATTGATAGTGTATCTGTGCCAACCTGAAATAATTTAGCATTCTACCTCAACCCCCTACTTCCCTTTCCTCCTCCAAAGGTTTTCTTTATTTCCTAGACACAGTCAGGGAGTAGTGATATTTTACAGCAACTTCTATTAATCTGATCATACATAGTTCTTTTTTTTTTTTTTTTTTGGATCATACATATTTCTACCTCAGTTCCTCCTGGACCAATTCATTATTGAATTATGAATGTGGGATTGGTAATGATATCTCTCCCATCTGGTTACT